AACAGACAAACAATAGATCTTTATTAAAACAGTGCCTACAGATAAAAATGATATACTTGAATAAAACACTATAAAACGTGTCTTTCCTATTGTTTATTCAGTTATACTATCAATAAATGTAAATATCCACTTTAAGCCCCAGTTCACACTGGATCTGACTTTGAAATAATGCGACTTCACTTGAAGGCGCACGATTTCAAAGTCAGATGGCAGTGTGACTTCAGGTGCAACTTGATAGACATCTGTGTGAACCAGACGAGGCTTTTTCTGGCACTTTTTGTTTACATGTAACAATCAGTATTTTTTGCTAGAAAATTATTTAGACCGCCCCTCAAACATTATATATTTTTAAAGCAGAGGCCCTAGATAATAAATTAGTGGGTTTTGCAATTTTTTTATGTCACACAGTATTTGCACAGTGGTTTTTTTAAACTCCATTTTTTGGGAAAAGATACTTTTTTGAATTTTAACCACCTCCCGCCTGCCATATAAGCAAATGACGGATGGGCGGCGGTTCTCTCGTTCTGGGAGGACGTCACGTGACATCCACCCACTCAAACTGCGCATGCACGCCCCCGAGGGCATGCACCGATCGATGGTGCACTGTGTCCCTGGGACACTGATCAGAGGAAAGAGCCGATGACGTCGGCTCTGTCATGTGATCAGTTGTATACAAACATACGATGCAGCGCTGAGAGGTATTAAATAAATTATTGTTAAGGTGTAGCATCAAAAATTAAGTCCTACATATATCCCATATGGTGCAACGTGACAATGGTGATATATTCAATATGAAGATAGTGACTTCCATGGTTATCATGGCTTGTGGAGGATAAATGTATAATGCATTAACCAGATAGCACAAATAATTGTGCGTTGGAGTATATAAGACCTACTCCACGGTGCTTAGGATTTGGGAACTCTGCATAGGGATGAAGTCGTCAGGCAGGGATTAGCAACCAGGTGTCATCCATCCAAGACAGGTTACCACTCTCCAATATCACCACATCAAGCAGACCAGGTTAGCCGTATCCAGCAGTATCGGTCTTGGCCACCAGGGGGATCCCACATTGAAGCACGGATCCAATGTAAAAAAGCACCTTAGGGGAAGGGGGCTCAGAGATGCCAAAAAATTAGCCCAGAAGAGAGAAAACTCCAATAGTGTAGTATTTTAATGATCAAAATAAGGTAATATCAAAGAATAAATACAAAAAGCAGAGAAACACTTACATGACAGAAATCCAATATGGCTGCCTATACAAGAATAGGGCCGTGCGGTGGGTGCATAGTGATTGGGGGCAACCCACTAACGCGTTTTGCATCATAACACTTTATCAAAGGGAGCGAGCCCAGTATACATTGAGTCCTTATATACTGTGCGGCACGTGTGCGCCGTTGCGCCTTGCCGCATCATCGCGGACTTTTCGCTCATGCTCATAACGCGCAAGCGGCGGTGGCCATTTTGCCAGCTGTGGGTAATATTATTATTATTATACAGTATTTATATAGTGCCAAAGGGTTTGCTCAGCGCTGTACAATAGCAAGGTGGACAGAACATGAGACAAGACAGTAACAATGCAATACACGAGGGGTTTGAGGGCCATGCTCTTTCGAGCTTACAATCTAGGCAATAGAGCCCAATCTATAGCCGCGCATGCGCAGTAAGCGCCAGCGACGGCCATATTGTTGTAGGCAAAGGCGATGTGAAGTGCTGGGGAATATGCCCTGCTTACAGGAATAAAGTGACTTTAAAAATGTAGATAAAAAGGCCCTAAGAGTGTGAATTGAAAGTACCCATTGCAACTTAGGACTGAGTAGAGAAGCTGGGTGCCTCGGTGGTCATAATCAGGAATTCAATTTATAATTCATGATATGGAATACAATGGGAACTGTAATTGAAACGCCCCCTATGGGTCAGAGTTGGTAGAGTGATTGTATACATCACTCCATTCAAGTAATACTAAAAACATAAACTCATAAAAAACATAAATTATGCAACTCACAAAAACATAAATTATGCAAACAATAAACAGTAAAACATGCATTAAATTTTAACATAAGCATCACAATAAATGGAAAAAAAAGAATAAATAATAAAAATTAATAGCAATGTTATGTGTTATTTGTTCAAATATTTCCTCTGTAACCATAGGCACTATTTGATTGAATATCTACTGTTTTCCTGTTCATTTGTGTTGAAAATGTCACCAATTTCCATGGGGTGTTTCCACATGACTATATATATGTAAAGCTAAGTAAAACGTAAATAAAATACACTCGAGACAAAATCTTTGTTTCTTCCCTGACAAACAGTGCACTGGAATCTTTTATTTACACCCTATGATCATATTACACTCGAACAACAGCTTGTTGATTAAATTACTCAACTTCATTCTACGCAACACCAGAGACATTGTTATGAAAGTTGCATTTTAACCACTTGCCCTCCAGAGGATTTAGCCCCCTTCCTGACCAGGCCATTTCTTGTGGTATGGGAATGCGTTACTTTGACAATTGTGCGGTCATGCAAGGTTGTACATAAATTAAATTCATGCCCTTTTTACCCACAAATAGAGCTTTCTTTCAGGGGTATTTGATCGCCTGTGCATTTTTATTTTTTGCGCTATAAAGAAAAAAAGACCAACAATTTTGAAAAATAACATTTCTTCACAAAATGTATTCTGCTACATGTCTTTATTAAAAATAAATCCCAATACGTGTAAATTAATTGGTTTACATGAGAGTTATAGCATCTACAAATGGCGGTATACATACTGGAATTTTTATTTATTTTTTTACTAATAATGGCAGCAATCAAAGACTTATAGCAGGACTGCAGTGGGCATTCTGATACTGGGGGGAACTGACCAACTGCCACTGACATCCCCAGTGACACTAATACAGTGATCAGTGCTAATAAAAAGCATTGACACTGTACTAATAATTAACATCTGGGGAGATCAAAGGGTTAACACTGTGCTGTGTTATGTTTTACATAGTTTTACATGTGCTGTGTGTGTTTTACTGTGTAGACACGCTGCTTTGTATTGTTCTGCTGTTTGTGCTGACAGCAAACCTTTTCCCTGTCAGCTCCACAGACGATCACCGAGTCCCAGCCAAGAATCGGCGATTGACATGCCAAGGAGCCAGTAGCAGCATGGGTAGGGAGTGCGCGGATATATATGTGATTTTGCACATCATTGCTGCCCTGTAGCAGTACTTCTGCTATAGGGCGGTCGGGGATGTGTTAAGCTGGATGTCGGACAACATCGGCCAGTTAAAAAGAAACCCCCCGACATTCGACATGACCAAAAAAGGTCTACCGATCAGCTCCCAATCAGCGTTTTCAGCCAAAGCTTGAGAGCGGTGACCGGAGTGTTCTGGCAGGGGGTCCGTCCCGCCTGTCAGAACACAATAGCACAATATGGGAGATTGTTGTACTAACATTGTATAGTTAGTACAGCGGCTCCTCCTGAGCTGTCAGGGTTTTTTTTGTTCAGCCTGCTGGGTTGAATGAAAAAATAAACTAGTAGCGTGTACCAGGCTTTAATGTACCATTTACTGTCCTATAGAGCTTTTACCTACTAGTGAAGGCCAAACTGAAGTTAATTTTTTTGTATTTGGCATGGATAGCCTGTGGCCCATTAGTTACTAGGAAAATCTAAAGCATAATATGTTGAAACCTTTGTTTTTTTTAGCAGCTGATGAGTTGATGGATGCCTAACCCTGCCTGATAGTGGTTTTATCCAATAAAATGATTCAATAGAAAAAAGAGAATTTAATGATTGTTTGTTGTATTTTTTGAATATAGCCTTTTTTTCCCCTGTATTAAAGGATAAGTTCACGTTTAAAAGAAAAAAAATTATAAATACATATTTTTTTGCAGATAAAATATGTGCATTTATTTATTTGAAAGCATTGCACCAGCAATTCCTGTGACCTGTGTCTCCTGTTGATTCTCAAATCTTTGTGCCCATAGCTCTTGTGAGTAGGCAGTTTAACACTGACAGGAAGACTCAATGAACTACCACAGTGCTCCAAGCAAACATGCAAAAAGGATGTTGGGGCGATACCACTAACGTCGTCATTTTTTCTACACCCAGGGGCTCCTCTCCCAGACTAGGTCCACTTTAATGCTTGTAGGCCACTCCTGATCCTACCCCACACTTGATATTGGTTTTATATAAATTACTACTCTCTACTGCCTCTCAATCTAAACCGAGTTGTATTAGGGTATGGGAACAAGACCTACAGTGTGACTTATCGGAAGAGCAACTACATAATTTATTCCACTTGACTCACTCCAGCTCTGTAGGTGCAAAAACACAAGAGAATAACTATAAACTGTTAACCAGGTAGTACCGAGTGCCTGTGCCTCTTGCCCAGATTTATCCCTCTTTCTCTGATCTGCTGGAGAGGCTGTGGTCAGAGGGGTATGTTTCTCCATATGTTGTGGGAATGTCCCAAGATCAGGCCCTTCTGGAAAGAGATACAGGACCGCCTAGTTGAGATTTGGAGGTAGACCTTCCCCTCTCACCTCACTTCTTGCTCAATGTCCCCACTATTCCACGAGTCATTATAAATGTAGTGCTCTTCCTCATTTGCTTAATGCAGCCAAGCATCTGATTCTGATTCATTGGAAGAGCACTGGAAGAGTTGTGGGGACTGATCAAGAAGGTAACTGAGATCATGGAGGCTGAGGAGTGGATAGCTACATGCAGGGTTACAAAGGGCTGCTTTGATTCCATCTGGGCGCCCTGGCAGTGGTATACTACTGGGACGGGAATGACCCCATCTAGCCTTGACATCATCACCTTACTAGTTTTAGCTGACCCTTCCTTCCAGCAACTTGTCCAAGCAAACCCACAAACGTAATTTTTCTTTTGTTTCCAGCTTATTGTGTTTGGCCGTGGTGGGAGATTAGGTGAAGTTCAGTTTTGTTACCATCCTAATACGGGTACACTTTAGTTTAGCTGACCCTATAGCTGTCTCCTTAAAGTGTTACTAAACTCACAAAAGTACAATCAGTCTGTATATGTGGTAAAGCGGGGTTCAGCATGCCATCGATCGCAATCGACTGGTCGACCATGACCATGTCTCTGCCTCCCTCTAGCCTCGACTGCTCTCATGTTACCTGCAGCGAAATCAAGAGGCAGCATAGTGCTGGATGTAGGGCGAGGTGGGAGGACATTACAGTAGGGCTCATCGGGGCACCCGAGGGCCCGGGGTCAGTAGGGGGCCCCATGAGATGCCCCTGGTACCTTTTTCATAGGCTTTTTTGAGTTTGGGCAAGGACACAGGGGCCCCATGATCCCCTATTGCCCGGGGGGCCCCATGAGTTGTTTGTCCACCCCTAGGCGTGATGTAAAGGGGGCAGAGGACACTGCATTGGGAGTATGGGACACTGCAGTTGGGGGTGATGTAAAGGGAGGCAGAGGACACTACTGTGAGGGGGGAGTGATTTTTTTTTTTTAAAGACATTGCCTAGTAAGCCTCCCTCCCCCACCCCAGGGATCTTTGCTTTACTCTATGTTGTACAGGTGGATCTCAGCCTCCGAAAGGTTGCCTACCCCTGCAGTAAAGCATGCTTGTTATAATCACTGTGGAACTTAAGGGGTTAATCCTCTACATTGTGTAAAAAAAGATGTTTGATCCTGTCTTCTTTGATCCTCCCCTTCTTCCACGTTCCCCATTTCATCTCCTGATAGATCACAGCCTCGGGGACACTCACATGCTCAGTTTGGTGTGTACTGCTAGAGATTTTTTTCTTTTTCTTTGGAGGGTGCATGTGAACAGCACTGTGCCAATCAGAGTCAGGGGTTATGCAATCTCATAGGGCAATGAAAGGAGAATGAAAACTCCTCCTACAAGCTTTAACAAGTGCTCTGCTGGACACTGATAAAAGTCACCAGACTACTATATACTGTTGATGAGAAAAGGTATTTAGCAGTTTATATTTACTAAAATAATTGCATTTCCATGTTCTGTGTACTGTGGAAGACCAGATATAGTGAATGCAGGGTCCTGGGTTTAGTAACACTTTAATGAGACTAAATGGGCATATTTTGCTGGCCAGTCGCCTTGAGGAGGTACCTCATGGCTTCGCCGCCCAATATACTGGCAGAGCGGTACAGCTGAGGTCGTACAAATGAGACAGGTTGGTTGTAATCACTTCTACCTATATCTGTTTGGTTTTTTTTCCTTGTGTTTTATTATTTCTCTGTGAAATTTCACTGAAGCAAATAGGTACATACTTCACAGGAGATTGCCAATTGTTTAAAAACAAAAAACAACACAATTCATGATGAGATATCCAGCATCCAGCTTTCTGCCCCACCAACACACCAAGTCCCCCACCACTCTAAACACTTTTCTCCTTCAACCCTGTTACCACTGAAGACGTTGCCAGACTCCATTCCGCTGCCCACCTCACCATATGTACCCTGGACCCTGTCCCCTCACAATTACTGTGACCACCTTCCTGCTTCATCCTAAACTCTCTAACCCTCTGTAACCTTTCCCTCTCCTCTGTCATCTCTCCCTCCCTGCTCAAGCATGAACTTGTCACGTCCATACCTAAAAAAACCCTCACTGTATCCCACCTGTTTGAATAACTTAAAGTGGAATTCCACTCAAAATAGGAAGCTCCGCTTATCTGCCTCCTCCGCCCCTGCCACATTTGGCACCTTTTGGGAGGGGGAGCGGGTACCCGGTTTTGAAAGATACCTGCTTCAACTTCCAGCTCAGTTTGTCAGGGGAAAACTGAGCAAGAAGTTCGGCCCCCCTGCAGTCCTCTGGGGCACTTCACAGGTCAGAGAGGACTGGCTCATTCACAAAGCACAGAGCATTTTGTGCATGCGCAGTAGGAAACCAGCTGTGAAGCTACAAGGCTTCACTACCGTTTTCCCTTAGTCAAGATGGTGGCGCCAGTACCCGACAGCCGATTGAAGAATCGGTTCGGGGTGAGGTGGACAGGTAAGTGCCCTAATATTAAAAGCAGCTACAATATTTGTGGTGGTGTGCATTTGTGGTGGTGTGGAAATGCATTGCATGCTCTACTTCTTTTCAGTGCAGTCGGTTGTGATTTGAACCACCGCATCACAACACCACTGCACTGAATAGAACTGTATTGCAATGTCACAATTCAATGCTTCTGAAAATAAGGAAACTGCATTGCGCTGGGATCAGCGCATTGACTCTGAATCACACACCACAAGCCATGCTTCCTGCCAAGTTCACTGTTCCAAATGGGCCCCGAGAGGGGGGAGCGTTTTTTGCAAATTCCTCACCAGAAATCAAAAAATAGGGGTCTATTTCTAAAAAATGTGTTGGGCAAATGTGGCAAGTATTCACCCATTCTTAATGAATTCTGGCCGTATTTTGCTTATTACACTGATTTCCTATGATCTGTAGTTCCATCTTGTGGTCACAATGCAGTATTTTTCCTGAAATACCGATACATTTTTGTAGTGTAAATAATATCGTTTTAAGATGGTATCACTAATGTTTAGAGCATATACAGTATATTATATATCTGTAGCTATATATTGTATATATACAGTATTTTGGTATTGGGGGTTTCACTCAGTGGTAGTGCTTTTCCATCAAGTACAATCCAGCCAGGAAATACCTTTTTAGGGCTTGTTGGCCTACTTTTATTTTAAGTGTTACTAAACCCAGGACCCTGCATTCACTATATCTGGTCTCCCGCAGTACACAGAACATGGAAATGCAATTATTTTAGTAAATATAAGTTGCTAAATACCTTTTCTCATCAGCAGTTATAGCTGTCTTGTGACTTCTATCAGTGTCCAGCAGAGCAATGGTTAAAGCTTGTAGGAGGAGGTTTTTCATTCTCCCAACTGTCCTATGAGGTTGCATTACTCCTGACCCTCTGTCTGGACACTGCTGATTGGCCCCGTGCTGATCACAGGCACCCTCCAAAGAAAAACAACTCTCTAGCAATACATACCAAACTAAGCATTTGCAGCTTGCCCCCAAGGCTCTGTTCTATCAGCAGATGGATTGGGGACTGTGGAAGAATGGAAGGAACAGAGAAGACAGGATCAAACATCCTTTTTACAAAATGCACCCCTTAGATTCCACAGTGAGCATAACAAGCATACTTTACTGCTTACACAGACTGATTTTACTGGTGTGGGTTTAGAAACACTTTAAGAATAAAGTAAAAGTTAAAATTCCTACAGAAATGAAAGGTTACCCTTGCAAAGGTGCTCAGCTGTCCTCTTCTGCTACTCAGTAACACAGATTTATTGATTTATTTATTACAGATACTTATATAGCGCCATCAATTTACAAATATATTGTACATTCACAGATGTGTCATTCATCCTCCCGGCTTACTCCTTCAGCGCTGCTGCTCTGGTCTCACATTTTAACCCGTCTGGTCCTTCAGACTGTCTCAGCAAGTTCAGACTATGCATCTCTCTCTTTCTCTCAACTGTGTTGCAGCTCCCTGCTGCACTGGTCCCACACCCTGACCTCTGAGCAGGGAATCTTCCTGTCTCTCAGTTGGAGCCCTGAACTACAGACAGCCTATGACAGACCCAACAGGGACAGGAACTTTTTGAGGGGACTAGGGGCTATCCTTCTGCCCACTGATTATGGCCCATGGAGAGAGCAGATCATTCTTTAATGATGGACAACAACTTGATGAATGCTGAGAGCGAAGCTTGGATTAATTGTCTGCATAAAGACAATAAAGCTTCCCTTCTTGAAGGGATGGAAAGATGTTATAATAATCTTGTACAGGTTAATGGTCAGAGGAAATATAGTGGCCCTCTTGAGGACTGGGTTGGAGAAGCTCCTCTATTTGGGACAGAAATATTTATCAACAATCTCCCTCAAGAAATCTATTAATATTAACTAATTCCACTTTTCAGACTGTTGGAATATTGTATGAGTTTTGTCTGATGATGGACAGATTATACAAGTGAAAGCAAACACCTGAAAGACCTCATGTGTAATGGACTTTGTGTTTTCAGGGGTGGGTTTGTTGCCGGGCTGTCTGTGGTGGGCTCCCTGATTAATCAAAGCATTGTCTGTGTTTCTGGCTGGTAATTAGCTTACTGTTAATTAGATCACTGTTAGCTGTACTGTTGTGATCAAGCTCTTACCTAATCAGTGTGGGATGCTTATCTCGATATGCAATATTTGTTTTATTGTTCATGTGGGGGCACTTCCCTATTTCTGAATTGTATAGAAACCTGTGTTTTCTGTTCAATAAAAAGTTCCAGTTTTGGCATCTTGGGTGCAATGCTTGGCTAGGTTCTCTGACGGAATCACCCAATCTCGGTGACAGGCATCACACAACCCCTTGACTATAAAGACTGTGCATACCTGCAGCCTGCTGGTCTCCTGCAAGACATAGACATAGGGTTAGAGGCTTCACCCCTCCCAGGACTCTTCAAAGCCTCTGGACTCCAGAACCCAAGCCAAGAGTTACCAATCCTGGAGAAAACTGAAAAAAAAAATTCTACACGCAGAACCAACATTCTAGAGTACCACAACCTGCATGTGTATTTTACCTTTTTATTACAGTGGTGTTCAAACATACTGCACTAGCCCTTTATTTTTGTTTTAGTACCAACTCTTAGCCCCCACACAAGTTTAAACTAGAATTCTGGGCAAAAACTTCTTTACATGTCCTTGTTGCTGATTTCCTACCTTCACTGAATATGTCAGCCATCTTCTGGTTCACTCAGTAGTTGATCTGAAATAACCTATTCATTTTCAAATCAAACCAATAATTCTCTTTGGTTTCCTGTTTTTAAGACCAGTGGCTGCTATGCCTCCATTTCCCCCAGCCACTGGTCTTGGCACATCCCTTCTGTAGTTCTTTCTCCAAGAAGCAGGGAAGAAATTCAGCCCTACTTGCAGTGGTGGGCTGACCGAGACTCTTAGACACATTCAACATGTACAGGCCTTGTGTACCCGCCCACATTCACTACAATTCCCTGTGATTGATGGGAACTGTAGTTTCCTTTTACTGGGGAGAGAGAGGAGAGGATATGATGTAATCTCTGCTGTTACATCTCCTCCTTGGCAGAGCAGAGCAGATGTTGTCTTTTGAATTACAGAGATGAAGTAATGAAAATTCACCTTTCCTCCTAAATGGTAAGGATTTTCAGAATTTCATTAACTGTTTAGTGTTTTGTGTAGCGGGGTGTACTACTAATGGGTGATTTTTTTTCCTATCCTGGAGTTCTTCTTTAGCTGAATCATTTTAGATTGGAACATCATCGCTTCATGATCACCAGACCATACCACGCATAAAATTAGGGGTCAGAGGAAGAAGATCAGGCCTTTCCATTGGAA